TGGTTTCTTAATCTTCATGTCCTCATTGCTTTCTGTTTATTTTCCAGGTCACTTACTAGGAGTTGCAGCAGCATGGATTGTCCAAGTTGGTATAGAAATCTACCAATTCTTGAAACAAACAACAAACTCTGAAGATGAGATTGATACTGTGAGCAAATCAGAAGAAGCTAAACTCCTCAGGAAGAAGGTTTCTGGTGTCACTATCAGGTGTGGAGCATCACTAATTTTTGCTTCTATTGGAGCAGGGATCGGTGCAACCCTTGTACGTCCGTCAATTGGTCAATGGATTGGTAAGTTGATTGCTCAACAATGCATGTATACTTTATCTAACTTTACAATTTGCACCAACGGAAATTATCCCTTTTTCTGCAGGTTGTGCTGTTGGAGATTTGGCTGGTCCCATTATTGTAACATTTTGCCTTGATAGGGCTCTTCATATAGACCACTAGAGTGGTGGAGATGATCTCTCCTTCAGAATTGACCTTCTTGTTTTTCTCCATCAAAATTGATCTTGCTTACTCCTAACAGTATTCTTAAACAGAACTTCATAGGAATACAATAACTTTTGCTTCATAAGTTGCTCATAGACGTCTCAACGTCTCCCTATTAGCAGAATTTTTCATCCTCTTCACTTATCAATCAACAACAATTTCAGCTAAATAATCTTTCACTGCTCTCATATTAACGATTGTGACAAAATATGGTTCAGAAAACTAATTAATGCACCAAGGTATAACTATAAGATCAGATGTAGCCAAAATTTTTGTTTTCCGATTGATCAGATGTATAAGGAAAGAATATGGTGTATATAAATTTTATTACCCGGATTACAGGTTTTGATCAGAGATGAAGTCAAGAAGGCTTTTCAAAATTGTGTGATCTTAATTGCAAAAGGCTACCGTTTGGCCAAAACAAGCTAGGAGATTTCTACAGTAATGTCAATTGTCATCCGTTTTATCCTCCGGAAAGAACTCAAATTCCAGAACCATACGGCAGCTCTGCCCTCAATGATACCAGAAAGGACTTTGCAGCCGACTCTGTTCTTGCATCCTCCTGCATGAACAATGCTCTGAATGAAAATGCCGCTCAAAAAATGGTTCACTGTTGAAAATTTTGCATTTTTATCAATATCGTGGTCCACGGAAACAAGAGGATGACAGGAGCGGAGAGCTAAGAAAACACTCACCCTTGATACTCTTTAGAGCGCTCAAGGAACTCCTTCACAACATCTTTTCTTTCATAAGATTGTAGGACTGCTCTTATGTCAGCTGGACTATTACGGGCAACGTCTGTATAAAAGGCAGACAGTGTGCACTAAATAACAGAAGCTTAAATAAAAAAATTGGAAACTACAAATTTAAGGCAAACCAAGTGACTAGGCAAAGATATAGGTTTACCAATTAGTTCCTAGCAATTTTAAGACAGAAGACATAACGTATTAAAGTAATTGAAAGAAAGACATTGACATTTAAATTTATTCCTACCTAAAATTCTCAAAGGCTGAGTTGCGAAATAGAAGGCAATAATTGGCAAACAATAGAGACATTTAGCACAACCATCAAGAAATTTCTAATCTAAACTAACAGCTCAATAATTGATTTTATTAAATTCCCATGCAAAATAAAGATTTGGCCATTCAACACAAGAAGAAGAAGACTTACATTCAAGAAATGGAATAAGATCCAACAGTGCAGCATCATCTGCCTCGAGCTTATATGCATGGTTCAATTGGGACACAGTTTTCGGGCTGAAGGCTAGAATCAAATGCATGCCCACTCACATATAGAATCTTGGCAGGATCTCTGTTAAGCTTTGATAAACCCTATCAACAAGAAAAACTCATTAACAACACAATTCCATTTCAAATAAGTATAGTTTTAAAACATCCCATCTCATAAAACAATTCATGGACATGGTTGAAGATTCAAAGACTAAAAAACACTGAGGCTTGTTGACTACAATTCTTGAATTTATTCTCTAATAGGTAAGATAATGAATGATCATTTGTATCTTTTCTAGTCCATACTACTCCCTCAGCTTTCGAGGAATAACTCAATAATTGTCCCCAAGACAAAATTGAATAGGCTCTTAATACAAAAAATACATGACGGGTAAAGATTTTTCACCCTGAAACAAGCAGATAGAATCAAAGAAATATATAGTCAAGTACAGCAGCAAGTCTATAGCCATACATGGTAAAAGTAGGAAATAAGTAAAAGCTAAACATAATGCAACATGAATCATATGATCAAGTAGAACATACTCTATAGTGCTTGCCATCCTGATACTTGGTTACACCCCTTGATAGCCTATACCGGATATAATGATTGTGATCCAACCTATCACAAGCAGAATAACGTACTGCACAAGTGAAAATGAATGAATAATTTAGTGGTTGATAACATCAATTATCCATGAAATATGATTAAAATACCGATCGAAACTCAAAAATACCATATTAAGCTGGTCAGAATACACAACAATTTTGTAGAACTTTCCAAGATGTTCCAAGAAGGCATCAACTCCAGGTCCCTTAAATGTTCGCCAGCCTCTGTCATGCTTCACCAAACAAACAGAAAAAATTTCAGAATTAGCAGCATTGCCCTAAATACAGAAAAAATGACGCTGAACAAAACCATTTGGATCATTCCAGAACAGATTTTACAACCCTCAGCTCACTACCAGTCTGTTCTTTTACCTAACAAATTGAGATGGTTTTGGTCAACTTTATACTGGAGTGAGTTAATACCATATAAAATTTTGACAAATGCATTGAACCATTTCAAATTTTCAATATGGCTGCAGTTGGTATAATCTTCACAAACTTCTACTTTGACTCCATGTTACACTTTCTGGAAATAAGCCCAGTTCAACTATTTCAATAAGATCATGCAGTGAAGATCCAGAACAAATCAAGGAATAAAACTGTGTGACATCATAATTAAAAGAAATAATTTCTCCAAAATGAATACTTATTAATAAAATATTACAGATCTGGACTACAAATGACTTTCCCAACACAATCCCTCAACCAATTAAAGGCTCTCATGTGATTTAAGATGTGAATGAAATAAATTGCATTCAGTCATATTCTTACCTTCCAATCAGTATAAAGTAATGTCTCATTTAGATCCAGGACAAGTGTGAAAACATGTTGCCCTGCAGGATGCCAATCAGGAAGAAGCTTATCTGAGGTTGGTTCAGTGCAGCCCTATAAAAAGCCAGAAAGACTTGTAGTTAAAGACAAAAGAAAAACAATAAGGGAAGGAGAATACACCGGTAGATGAGGAGTGGCACTCACCTGAACTTGCCCTTCCACTAGCCTCCTCAAATCCAAGTATAGCTCAATTGATTTAGCAGGAACTGAAAAGTCAAAAAACAAAGAGAACACATGAATAATGCAGTGCAAACAGAGCGTGCAAACAGCTCAGTCAAGTAGTTGAGTCTGACTGTTTAAGAGGCTGGTTTCTGACTTAAAAATAAACTTGTTATTAGTCCCCAAAACTTGTAAGTGTTTATTTAAAATAATGCACAAGCAAACCATTGACCAAGAATGTGGCCTCCTTTGTTAACAATTTTGCAGACAGTTAATAGAAAAGACCAAAAGATTGATGAATTACCTTCCAATTGAACAACTACCATTTGAGCTGTGATTAGATTATACATTTCCTATAATGCAAATTATAAGTGTCACCCTAAAATGAAAAATGAATCTACACAAATGTTTTCTTGAAAATGATAGTTCTTTCCTCCAAGTTAAATACACTTGTTTCCCACTGAAGTGAAGGGACTCTAGAAGGATAGTGAGAAGAGGGAAAGGATAGCAGTGATACATGCATACACAATATGGCATTGGGATAAAACTTAAGTCTTTGAGCCACAGTTTCCGCAATAAATCTTCAATGGGAACCAGACCTACCCATCCATAACAGACACCAAGCAACAATTCATAGAGAATTTCTATCTCCTCCACTCTTTTTCTCTGTAAGGTAGTAGTGAACATTTATGAATCACAATTAACAAAAAGATTTCTCACGCTCTAAAAGGGCTTCAGTTAGCTTGTCTTAGGAAAACTTATTTATCATATTAGAACAACTAAAGAAAACTAGATTTATCTAGAGATGTTCCCAGAGAAATCAGAGCTGCATAACTAATAAAAGGAGAAACCAATAAAGACAAGAAGGAACATATTCAGGCACATTATCTGTCATTGCAGCAGAATAGAGCAAACCTTGGTATTTCTTAAATAAAGAGAAAAAAGTTACAATTTCAATATCAGATCTCTCAAAGTACAACATGAAAAGACAGAGAGAGAGAGAGAGAGAGAGAGAGAGAGAGCACAAGCTACCAACTGCTGAAATATACCAATTACTGAAATTGTTAATTAACTAATTATACATACTAAAATTAAACTACATTACATCCATTGGAACAAATATGTAATAAAATAAGGTTAAAAATGTTAATCTCTCTCTCAACGTCATATAAGCAACATCTTTTTCAATCAGAAAGAATAAATGGGAAAATGTAGAAAACTCAGTTTCAAAGAAACACTGTTGGTCGAACTTACATCAATAGCAGAAACATCTTCACCAGCTTTAAAGTTGACCGATTCTCAGAATTCTTTCGTCTTCTCATCTATTTCATCAGATGCCTATGCTGCAAATAAAATAAATGCACGAGATACAAGTTAAAGAGCTTCTCTTGCTTCCTTTCAACAAATTGGAATCATATTTTCTTCTGAACACACAAAAGAAAATAGAAAGATTCAAAATCAAATAACAAATTCTGCAGAATTATGATTCCAACAAGACGTAATTACATTGTTCATACATTTTGCATGGAGTCTCAATTTCATTTGTAGTTTATTCTCCATTATCCAGAAAGAAAGAGAACAGCCAATATAATAACTGAATCAACCAAAACACTTGCAAGAACAACTCATTAAAATAGATAAATAAATAAATAAAAACGAGAGAAAAGCTCACCCTAAGTCGCGTAACCAGCATAGCCAGAAATCCCAGTGAGAGCGGCAAAAGGTCCGTACTTGAGAAAACCCCACGATTTTCTTCCAGATGCCTGAGGTGCTGCCTCCGGTGGAGGCGTAACCGGAGGCACATCGGAGAGACTGGATTGGGTGGAGATGATCGCTTCTTTGGAAGGAGTCGAAACAGCTTCTGAACTAAAAACCCTGCGATTGATATTTACAACCAAAACCATAATTCTTGATTCTTGTTAACTTGGAAAGTATGCGAGATCGAACGATGAATGGACGCCATTGTCGGGGGCTTTGATTCGAGCTCAGAGGTTTGTGTGTGGGGTTTTTCAGCAGGGTTTTTGCTCTGAGGTGCTGACTTCTGATTGGGTTAAGCATTGTGTTAGGGAGTCGGTATTAGACTGTTCTTGTTACGGATAAAATTGGTTACTGTTTGTTTGGTTGCAGAATTCAGTATTTGGCAATGGTTTTTTCGGTCTGAAGTCTGAACCACATCAGTTATGAAAATATTTAAATGTCTTTGTAAATAATGATTATTAAGCATATTTAAATACTTTTATAACACAAATTGCTTGATTAATTGAAAAACACATTTTTAGAAGTATTTCCTTAAGTTTTTATATATATTATCATATGAAAAAAATATTTTGTAGGTTGTGTTACGCTATTTTTTGTAAATATTATCTCTCTCTCATACTATCCTTTAAAAATCATTTTATGTTAAATGATTTAGAAATAATTTATATGTATAATTTTACATTTAATTAGATTTTTTCACTATATTAAGATTATTGTATTATATGTATGTATTTATTTAATAATACTTAAAATTTATAAATAAATAAAAAGAAATTAGTGTATTTCAATTATAACTTTAAAAAAATTAAAATATCAATTTATATTTAAAAATTAAAATTTCAATTCAAAATTAAAAATTTTACCTTATATATTTTAATATAAAGATTTTTAAATTTTGAATTAAATTTTAATTAAATAAAACCATGTTATTTAAAATTAAGATTTTAATTTATTTTTGAAGTTAAGATTGATATATATTTTTTAAAAATAAAATGTCTATATTTCATTATCTTTATTTAAATGTCAGTCCAAACATAAAAAGAAAAAAACACTTTAATTATCCTATGCACCTAGTGATCATCAAAGATATATTTGTGGGTTTTGCTGCATTAAAATTCAGTAAAGCATCAGATTTCTTTAGAGACTCAAATGGGTAGTTAATTAGTTATAGAACCAACTGAATTGTTTAACCAAAAAAAAAGAACAAACTGAATTAAGCCCATGATTTTATAAAATCAGAAAAGAACTTGAGCTTCTTCCCTTGTCCACCATGAACAACACATCTGAAATATTCTGATATCATTTTCATAATAGACTTCGATAGGATTCAAGTGAGGAAAACTATTGCAAAAAAGTGTTGCTAGGTAAAGAAATAAAGTCTCTTTAAAGTAAGAGGAAAACAGAGTAAAAGGTGTGAACTTATCAGGAGAAAACAAAAAGGAATTTAGTGAAGTTTTGAACTGAATTTGCCGTGTTGTTCATGATCATAGCTTGTCTAGGACCACTGCTTTGCCTCTCAGCTAAGCAAACTCTCCCTTCCAAGGATTTAAATCATA